ACAAAAAACAAAATGAGTATAAATACGGATTTATATTTGTGTAGCCTTTGTTTTTAGGGTTATTAACGAAGTTCGTGTACTCAGACCAGTAATATTTGGGGTCACAAGTTTTTGCCATGAATATTTTGTGGGTCAGAAGATAAAAAGTTTGAGAACCACTTTTCTATGCTGATCCATAATCTTATTCCCTGGATTAAAGTGGATCTCTCCTTCAGGCTCGTACCAACCCAAGGTTTCATAAACATTTCTGTTCCTTTAAGATAATAACAGCTCTCTGTTTTAACAGAATTTACCTGAATGTTGGAAGGTAACACACCTTTATGAGCTCTGTACATTAACACTAAAATATTATAATCAACCAAATCATACAATTTCAATAATTTCAAATCATGAAACAATGTATTTGATGGATGGCTGTAATTTTTTCTAGTAATAACACTTATAGCTGTTTTCTGTCAAATAAAAATAGGATYTGTGATAGTTTTACAAGCTTTAAACCAGACTTCAATACAGTAAATTAAATGAGGAACAATTATAACGTTATACAACATAAACAGTTTTTTATCATTGAACAGTTCACTTGTTTTGTACAGGACTCCAATTGATTTGGCCATTTTTATTCTTAAAACAGTTTATAAGATTTTTCCATGAAATCTTTTAAGTTATGCATTTTTAAAAAATGCATGCCCACCTGAAGTCTGCACTGGCTGCTTGTCCCAAAGACTGATCAGTGTGTATTTATTGACTGAAACCATTTCACAACAAGTTATTGATCTTTCACACATAAAAACAACTAACTCCAGGAACACAAACATAGAAAATTACTGAGCAAAGTACTTTCTAATTTAACCAAATCAACAGGCCACGAAAACTTTTCCAACGTTGTGATTTCCGAGCTGCTCCTGAAGGCACCACAACGCTCCTCCTCCTCCTCCTGACACGTGCAGAACCAATGTGCTGCTCGCTGGTTCTGTATGGAGCCGCTGTAAACACAGGCCGTTGTTTGGGTTCTTAGATCATCCCGGGCTCTGGTTTTATTGTTGTCGTGTTCGTCGCGGACAGAACATTTAAAGAGAAATCTCTCGCTGAATATTAGCGGTAAGTTAAAAATGATGATGCTGTGTTTGCTAGCCTGGAAACAAGCTACACGCTGTGTTTGGTAAACTTCCGGACAAAGTCACCAGAGTAAAGTTATTTTTTAGTGTGACACGCATCTGCTTTAGGTAATACACTCATGAGAATGAGTGTAGTGTTTATAAAATAAGAAAATAAGGTAAGTAATTCTGTAGACGATTACTATTCACGTTTTATACGCTCTACGTAAAGTTGACTGCTTTTATTTTGAAAACATGGAGTTGGATTTCCGGCTTGTTAACAATGATGATGTTAGCGACATTTGTAGCTCAAACTGATGAACTAAAACCGCCGAGGTTTCGTTGTGTGAATAATTTATTTGAGTTTAGACCGTAAAGAAGCCGCCACCGTTGTGAGTTGACGACATCTCATGATAATGGCGCATGTAGCTCAGGAAGCTAACAGTCTGGCGCGGCTTTCCTTTGGGTTGGTTCGCTTTGATAACGTTGTTATCCCGAACGGGCGGTTCTGTTCCTCCTCAGTAAGAGTGCATGTTGTTCCCGCCTGCTCGGGATGCGCTGTGTGAGAAACCAAACATGTCAAACGTCTGGCGCCTGAATATGGCGTAGTAACATGTGTTTGAGAGGCAACACTTATTTATTTATTTGTTTATTTATCTATCTATCCAGGTAAACTGTTTGAGACCACTTCTCATTTACAYACAGGTTTAAATATCGCCTCTGCCTGTCTCTTAGTACAACATATCTCTAAAAAAATGAACCAATGTAATTAAAACTCAGAAGGATGATAGCATCAGGACCAACCAGGCTTATAACKTAGATCCTTTACATGTGTCACGTTTTAATGTTGTACCTAAACAGCTTTAATACCAACCCCTATAATCAGATGAACTGAAATCTGTGGCAGGAAATACAGCAGTACTAGTTTATTTGCTTTGTGGTACATGGCGGGTAATAGGGGTGGACGATATTGGCAAAATAATTAATCATGATTAATTGTGGTATTTAGCTGATAACGATAAATATGACTAGACATGGGTCTTTACAATGTAAAAACAAGTGTGCATTGCCATGTAGCATGGCTTTGCCTGCAGCATTGGACTTGCAGAATGAACTGTGACCAAGTTCAAATGTGTTTTCTGTATCAATTTGTGCTTGTCAAGTCAGCAGGTGTTTGCAATTAAGGTAATTCTGTGACAATATGAAGTTTGTTAAAGTTGCTGTAGCTGGGTTTTGAACCCAGATCTCCCACATGAAAGCCCATAGAGTTAACCATTAGACCGTTGGAGCTGTGGCAGATGGTACTGCCAAGGGTTGGCTTGTATTTGTGCAGAAAGAGGCCACATTGCCAATGCAATTGTTGACACATAACTGCGTAATATTACAACAATAGAGTAATATTAGGACAAGATTTTAGTAAAACATCAAAATACAATCATATTAGTGTTGTAATCACTGAACTACTGAGTTTAAATATTATTAAACTATGGTTCAGTACTGAGTATTAGGGTTGGGCATAATCGTATCGTGTGCGATTAATCGTCAGAAAAACATTAATCGATTATTTTTTGGCACTTGACGATTAATATGATTAATGTCACCAGGCAGACTGACTGGATATTTCCTTGGTCAGTCCGCTCGGTGCTCCTCTCCGCTTCAAATATGACGAACATTTTAAAAAAGTTCTGTAATTTATTTATCAACACAATTTAAAATTTGATGTACAGCCCGAAGTCTGTGATTTTGATACAATATGGAACAGATTTTTACAAATAGCTAATCTTTTCTAAATTGGTTATATGACTAGGACATAAGGGTGTCCAGGGACTCCAGGGGGTTAATTGTCAAATTAATCGTTATCGGCTAAATACTACAACTTATCGTGATTAATTTTATTGCCAGTATTGCCCAACCCTACTGAGTATATACAGCTGGGGGCAGTATTGGACCAATACAAGGCTCYATTGACTAACATTATATGATTTTAAACATTAATATTTCAAAAAGTATAAGTTGTACAGGCACCAAAAGGCATAGCCATCATTTGGCATAGGAGCTTTACAGATATAAATTACAATGG